GGAATTATTCCTCCCCTATTTGGAATTGATTTGATTAATTAGGGATTTGATTTATTATGGTAAATCAAATCCCTAATCGTGGTAGGTATCAGATCAAATCCTAATTTAATTAGGTAACTCCTCATTTAATTGGGAATTGGGGTAGGGATCAAATCAATTCCTAACTTAATTAGGTAATTCTCAATTTAATTGGGTAACTCCCAATTAAATTGAGTAACTCCCAATTAGGTTGAGTAATTCCCAAATAGGTCAAATAATCCCCAAATGGAAGGAATTATTTGACCTAGGGTATGATTTAATTCGGTTCCCACAAATGCCCCCCAGCTTCTGCATGGCACGTGGTGGCATGTAGGAGATGTGAATTGTTTGTTGGGTTGTCCAGCTGTAACTGGGCTTCCTCCTTGGATTTGGGCTCCTGAATGGAGGAGGCTTTTGACTTGCCAACTGGTCTTTGACTTGGGCTGTCCAGCTATAACTGGGCTGGAGGCAAGCTGGCCTGCTGCTGGAGCAGGTGGCAGTTTGGGTCGGCTTATTTGTGGTTGATCCAAACTACTTCAATTCCTTCTTCTTCTTCTTTTTGTGTCACGAACTAGGACCAGTATGAGTCAAGGCGATCACGTGTGGAGCACGGACATGTTGGAAGTCAGCGGCAGACGGGTAGGGGAGGTTGGCGACGGTCTGCTCATTCCTCTCACCTACTGTGATGGTAAGTTGCATCCCTATGATCTGCTACAGTTGCCATGGAATTCTATGCTGTGTGTTTGACTAACTTCTGTCTCATGCTTGTAGAAAATGACATCCACAAGAAGCTCAATCTCGACTCGAACACGATCAATGTTCATCAAGCTTTAAACATCCTTGCCAGGTTCTGTGGATTGCGCTGGTTGCTAAGAAGGAGGCTGATGGCCTGCCCCCAGCCGAAGATGTTGAAAGATGGGAGCTGCATGGCTCGGACCTAGATGATCTGCCAGTTGAGCGGGAGAAGTCCTCGACCAAGCTTCCTCATTCTTCCACGAGCAAGTCTTCCGTAAGGGGGTCTCGTTTGCTGGGAATGTCCCTATGGGAGTTGCTTCTTCATCTGCCAGGATCAAGCGCCTCGTCAGCACGAACAGTAAGAAGATCAATGGCATGCAGGAGGTCTGGGACATTCTGCTCAGGTATCCGCTCGAACTGCTTAAAACCCATGATCTACCCTGTGAGGAGGCTGTTGAGAAGCAGGGTTTGAGTTGCTTGTGCCGATCTTGGGATCAAACTGAGAGGACTGTACATTTGTCTAGAAATCACGACTCGTCTGCAAAGCCACGAACAGTCAAGCACGGAGCTGACTCAATGTTTCGGCCAAGAGAGCTAAATAGTCGTATGCTCGAGCAAAGAGTCCTTAAGTTGCACGAACTGCAGATCCAGAAGTTGGTGATAGCGCCGCTGGTCAAGTTCGACACTCATGTTGAAGCCACGGAGGCATCCAAGTATGAGATTGTTGCTAATGTGTACAAGCTGGGATACTTGGATTGCAGGAATAGTGCTTCTCCTTGTTGCCATCTCGAACATGAAGACGATAAGCAGCTTTATCTTGACCTGCCCCTGCTTAAAGTGAGCAGAGCAATGTTGTGGATGAAGAAGCAGTTGAAGAGCAAATAGCAGATGAAGCTACAATGGAGGAAGACAACTCTCAAGGTGGCGTAGCTGATAAGGCTAGTCCATATGCGAATGAGTAGGCAGGTGAGGCCGTTGAGTAGATGGTGCTGGTTGGCTGCTTTGTTATCGAAATTTCAGTTGTCTTTCAAACTTCAATTCTCATTGTATCTTGTAAGTGTACGCCCGGAGACATAGCACTTGAAAGAGATTCCATTGAGTTTGTACTCGTGAAGTAGCTTGCCCACAATGGAGGTAAGGCTCGTTGCCTGTGTACGTATGTCAGGGACATGACGCTTGAAAAGACTCCATGAAGTTTGTACTCGAGGAGTAGCTTGTCTTCAGTGGAGGTGAGGCTTGTCACCTGCGAGCATAAGTCGGGGACATAATACTCGAAAAAGACTCCATTGAGTTTGTGCTTCGAGGAGCAGCTTGTCTGCAATGGAGATGAGGCTTGTTGCCTGTGAGCGTATGTCAGGGACATAATGCTCGAAAAAGACTCCATTGAGTTTGTGCTTC